CGAGCCTCCAAGGGCACCTTGTTGCCTAGGCGTCGCCTTGACAACTAAAGAGGCCAATGAAACCCAAGGGTTTGCTCGAAAAGAAGAAAAAGAAACCTACCTTAGAGAAGCCTTTAGGAGTTAAGGTGTACTCAAGGAAAGGAAAAGGTAAGGATAAAGGCAGGAAAAGGAAAATGAGTGAAGTGGAGAAGTTATTTAGTGAGATAGATTATGATAGGAAAGGGAACAAAAGGAGGGGTAGAAGAGTGGAAGGCTGTTAGCTAAGGTATTAAAGATAGGGCTCAAAGTTTGACAATGGTATGAAGATCTTAAGCTGGAAAGCGAGAGGCCTAGGTAGTGTGAAGAAGAGAAGGATGGTAAGAGAAGTTCTTAGAAAGGAGAAGTCGGATGTGTTGTTGTTGCAAGAGACAAAACTTCAGGCTGGGTCTTTGCACCATCTTGGGGAGCATCTAAAGGTATTGTCATGGTTTGGAAGAGCGAGGAGGTGGAGGAACTAATAGGGTAGTTCTCGATATCAATCAAATTCAGAGGTTTGACTGATGGTAAGATGTGGGCTTTGACAAATTCCATGGCCCAAATTCCTATAGAGATAGGATTCACTTATGGGAAGAACTAAGTGCAGTTAAGGGTTTGTGGGAGGGACCTTGGTGCTTGGGTGGTGATTTCAATGTAATATGATTTTTGACAGAGTCTAATAATCCAAGTTAGAGAATCACTACAAGCATGAGCAGGTTTAATGAGTTTGTAGACTCATTTGAATTGAAGGAGCTCCTACTACTACAAGCTGAATTTACTTGGTCGAATTTTCATGAATCCCTGATCTTCTTTAAGCTAGACATTTCTCTTTTTTGTGTATTGGGAAGTTTTGTGAGAGGACTTAACATCTCAAGCCTTGACAAGAATTACCTCGGATCATTGTCCTATTTGCTAGCTCAAGGAACTTTAATTGGTGGCCCCTCTCCATCATAGTTCATGGTCACCCAGGCGCCTAGTTAATCTGTAGATTTCTATACTTCGACCTAAACTATTTTATAAGTTTAGGAACTAGGAAGGGAGTAGGTTTGGCTGTTAAAAATAATAAGTGGCTGAGTTGCTGTAACTGCTCAAAAAAATGGGGCAGAGCCCCTGTTTTCTCAACCGCACTGCTGCAGAAATATATATACCTGATATCTGTAGCCCCTATTTTTTCGAAGAATCGCCCCTGTTTTTTTCGAAGAAAAAAAGAATTGAAGCTGGGAAGAAGAAGAAGGGAGGAGAATAGGGGCAAAGCCCCTGTTTTTTCGAAAAAAAAAGCATTGAATCTGGACTGGAGGAGTATAGGGGCGGAGCCCCTGTTTTTTAGAAAAAGAAAAGCACTGAAGCTGGATTTAGGTGCCTGCCTAAGTCTTTGGGTGGTCGCCTAGAATACAAAACTATAGGCATTTGGGCGAGGCAAAACTGGAAAACAGCCTAGTCGCCTAGGCGTTGCCTTGACAACTATGCTCTCCATTTAGATCCGAAAACATGTGGTTGGAAGGTCCCACCTTTGTGGAGAAGGTAAATTGTTGGTGGCAAGAAGTAGGTTGTAGAGGTTTGAAGAAAGGGGTTAGCTTCTTGAGGTGACTAAAGGGTTTAAAGGAGAAAATAAAAGCTTGGAACAAGGATCTTTTTGGCAAAGCGGAGGAGGTTAAGGAGAAAGTTACTTTAAGGATTGAGGAGTTGAATAAGAGTGGAGAGGAAAGAGAGGAAAGGTGGAGGTTGAAGCGTGATTTGGAAGAATTGCTTAGGAAGGAAGAGATATCTTGGAGGCAGAAACCCAGATGTAAGCGGCTCTTAGAAGGGAAGGCCATGAGGTAACCGGGGAGGAGGAAATCGTTAAGATTTTTGTAGAAACATTTTTAAGAGCATCTTTTTATGTCAAGGAGAGAGGAGTCTTGTTTTTCCAGACATTCAGTGGGAGAGAGTTCCAGAAGCTATAGTGACAACTTTGGACAATGTCTTTACCCTTGAAGAAATTAGAGAGGTTGTCTTTTCAATGGAAAGATCTAAAGCCCCAGGACCGGATGGATTTTCCTTAGCCTTTTATCAGGAGTGTTGGATCAAAGGGGATTTGTTGGAAGTCTTCAATGAGTTCTATTTGGAAGGGGAAATCTCTCAAGGAATCATTGTCCTAATCCCCAAGGAGGAGGCAAAAGCACCAAAAGATTTTAGACCAATAAGCCTAGTGGGAAGTCTTTATAAAATCATAGCAAAAGTTTAAGCAAAGAGGCTGAAGAAAGTCTTACCACTGGTAATCTCACAACATGAAGGAGCCTTTGTCAAAGGGAGACAGATTATAGACCATATTTTGGTGGCAAATGAATGTGTAGTAGAGAAGAGGAGGAGAGGGGAGGGTTGATGTGCAAATTGGATTTGGAGAAGGCCTATGATTTTGTGGATTGGTCTTTTCTCTTAGATATAATGGAGAAAGTTGGCTCGGGGGAGCAATGGAGGATGTGGATGAAGGGCTGGTTAAGTCAGTTCAATATTCAATATTAATTAATGGTGTGGCTAGAGATTATTTCCCGGCAAAAGAGGCCTGAGACAAGGGGACCCTCTATCTCCCTTCCTATTCACCCTAATTGTTGATGTTTTAAGTAGGATGATTTTGAAGGCTGATCGAAGTAATCTATTTAGAGGTTGGAGGGTAGGAAGACTGGAGGTGGCAGTCACATGCTTGCAATTTGCAGATGACATCATTTTATTTTGCAAGGGACACAATCAAGAGAATATGGGAAGCTACGAGAACTGATTAGTTCCTTTGAATTTGTCTCCAATTTGAAGATAACTAGGGAAAGAGTTGTATAATAGGGATAAATTTTGATGAAGTATGAGATAGATAGCTGAGATTTTGGGGTGTGAGGTTAAACACTGGTCGTTGGAGTATTTAAGGCTACCATTGGGAGGTAACCCAAAACTTGATGCCTTTTGAAAGCCAGTAGTAGAAAGGTTCACAAAGAAGCTGGTGCTTGTGGAAGAGGAACTACCTTTCTCTAGGTGGGAGAATAACACTGATTAGAGTTACCTTAGCCAACCTACTAGTCTACTTTCCACCTTTAGAATTCTAGCTAGGCTAGTAAGACAACTAGAGAAATTTATGAGGGATTTTCTTTGAGAGCCAGGGGATGAAAAAAGGGATCATCTAGTAAAGTGGGAACAAGTTAGCAAAACAAAGGAGAAAGGAGGTCTAGGGCTAGGGAATCTAATGTACAAGAACACTTCTCTGTAGGAAAGTGGCTTTGGAGTTTGGAGGTTTCCTTTGGAAGAAGACAAGTTGTGGCACAAAGTTATTGAAAGCATTCATAGGCTAATGAACAATGGCTGGGAGGCAAAGGTCGTTTCTCCCTTAAATTTGAGCTCTCCATGGAAAGCAATTCATGAAGTATACTCAACCTTTATTAATTTCATTAGGTTTGATGTAGATCCGGGTCTAGGGTACTCTTTTGGTAGACCTTTGGTTGGCTGAAACTCCTTTTTGTTCTCTCTTCCCTGATCTTTACTTAGTGTTTGATTACAAGTCACAACCTATCTCAAACTTTGTCACTTTTTCTCATTCTGGTTTGAGTTGGGACTTTGGTTTTAGAAGGGGGTTGAGGGATATTGAGTGCGGGACACTTGTACATTTTGTATAGGTGACATGCGTGTTATCATTCTTAGGTCCTAGAGGACGATGTGCCAACAATGAGTTGCTAACTTCCTTATGTTGAGAAGTGATAAAAAAGCTGCAATGACTTTGTCCAATATTCCACTCTCACCATATAGTCTCAATTAGCGCAGCCCTAGTGCATCTTCATAAAAATTTTCCCTTTTCTTAGATGGTGAAAAGGGTAGAAGAAGCCTTTGCCTAGTTGGTGGTGCATGATAGTATTCTCACTTATGATCACCTGAAGTCTAGGGGATTGCATCTGGTCAGGAGGAAGAAACAGTCCTTCACTTGTTCTTCTCATGTAGTGTAGCAAGCTTCATTTGGAAGTTCTCCTTTCTATTTGGAGTGAGTGTCTTCCAACCAATGTTTCCAGCAGAGATCTCCAAATGGCTAAAACTCCAGATGCAGCAAGAAAGCTAGGATTCTCTGGAGCTGTGTGCCTTTTGCAGTTTGTTGGTATCTGGAAGAAGAGAAACAGAAGGGTTTTTGAGAACAGGTCAAAAAGCATTGAATGTCTGGTAGCAGCAGTGAGAAATCTGATTTCAGACTGGGTCCTTAGACTTCCAGAATTTGATCAAGTATTCAAAGCTGATTTGTTGGAAAGATTCTGGAATACCCTTGATTTACAGCCTTGTAATGAAGACTCTTTTTCAGTTTGATTTCTAGTGTATATTTGGTGTGTCAACTTGACAACCAATGGTGTTGAGATGTAATTCCTTTTTTCAATTTAATGAAATTTCTTTTTGATCCTTCAAAAAAAAAGGCAACCCAAGTCTAATGGAAGATTTCAGCTGCACCCAAACATTGAGAACGAAAAATACCTAATACCACACAATTTAATAGAATTGGTAAATGAACTGTAGTTTCACAACTAGCTTTGCAAATATTGCACATTTGTGGAGAAAGATACCAATTAGCCCCCCCCACCAGATGCTTTGAAGTATTAATTTTCACATGAAAACCTCCCACAAATTGTCCTGATCTTTGGTGTGATTGGCTCTATAGCTAGGGCTCATCAATTTTCTTATCAATAAGAGCTGTTATGATTCTTGTTGAAAAAAAATTGTCATATTGGGTACATATCATTGGTTGATGCTGATACACTAGACATGTAAGGTATTTGTGTTTCATGGTTGGGGTGAGGTTATCTTCATGCTGTAATTTTCTTGTAAAACCACAGTTAAGTCAATCTTTTTTCATGAATTCCATCATTTGTGGTGGTTTTTTGGACACATCTATCTGTTAATTTTTCTCAGTTCTACCTGAACAAGTCTATGTGAGATTTTGCAAATCAGATCTACTCTACATTAACCATATATTTCTTGTTGAATTTCAGTTTTATTTCACATTGCGTGATGATCTTGACTATCTCGATGGTAAACACACTGTGAGTTTTGTTCCTATGATGTTTGCTTTATAGGCTTTGGATTCATATTTCTTCCTGATCAACAAAATATGGAAGGAAAACATTTATTTCCATTGGCATAGGTATTTGGAGAGGTTGCTGAAGGATTGGAAACCTTGACAAGGATAAATGAAGCATATGTGGATGAGAAGGGACGACCATATAAAAATATCCGGTCATTCTTTACAGATAGCTTATTTTGTTTCACTTGTATACTTCCATTCTTCTGATGCATCTATCCATGATTAGAGAAGATCATCATCATTGTTGTTGTTGTTACTGTTATTATTACAATCAACTTAATGACTCATGGTTCCTTTAATGTAATAGAATAAAACATACCTATATACTGGATGATCCTTTTGATGATCCTCCCCAACTAGCAGAGTTGATTCCTGAGGCTTCTCCAGAAGGAAAACCACGGGATGAGGTAATTTCTATTCCTAGCTTTTTTTTTTCATTGTGATCAATGGCCAAATTTTGAATGTGTTGCTTATTTTTTTTGATGAATGATAATAAATTTATTAATTCAGAAGCAGATTTATAGTGAGATCATACAATATCCCAGGGAGAGGCGCGAGTTGCAGCCCCTCCTTGAATCTTACAAGTAAACTAGGAAAGAAAAGCAAGAATCACAACTGAGCCCAAAACAATTCTTCCCTATTTACCCCTTGCTTAGCTAACACATCTGACAAAGTATTTGCTGATCTCCCCACCCACTGTACAGTGACCAACATATTCCTTGTCAACCAACTAAATTTCTTCATTTCATTCTTGTAACGCCACATAGCCTCTTCAGGATTTTTCAACCAACCCACCACCACTTTGGAATCCCCCTCGATTATTAGGTGTTGTACCCCCAACTGGTTTGCAAATTGGACCCCTTGTACAACAGCTAAAAGTTCTGCCCTGATGGAGTCCCCAATTCCCAAGGGACCTGAGTAGAGCAACAAAATCTCTCCCTTCTCATTTCTCAAAGCACCTCCATTTCGGATAATCTTGGATTACCCATGGTACTTCCATCAAAGTTCAACTTCAGTGAGCCTTCGGATGGAGGAGACCAGCTTGTAATTGATTTGTCATTTAGGGATGAACACACTCGCTACTACTGATCAATTTCTCCAAAGGTCATTAAAGGAGAATTGATGAAAGATTTCCAAGGTCTTCAACCAAGGTATTGTCCTATTTAACACATAGTCTTTCAATTCCTGACTGCTCCTTTCTTTTTCTTGAAAAATTCTAATATTCCTTTCATCCCTAAGTCCTCTACGAAACCCAAAATCCCAAGTACGATCTAAGGGTGTTCCCAAAGGTGAGACAAATTTTGAGACCACCTCTTTTTTGTA